ACCACAGAATAAGTACAATTAAAGTCAGTGCTCAAAATGCATGGGCTTGGTGTACAAATCTGCCCCAAAAGTCTCCTTTCTCCTGCAAAGTCCACTCAGAGGAGTAACCAAAGAAAATTCACCCCTGGTATTAGAAAAGAAGGAACTCCTCTTCCAAGCATAGTCTGGATTGCTCCAACGCTTGCAACAAATGCTTAGAGTAGTGGCGAGCAGGATTATACATGCTGGCAATGAAGGAGTCACAGGGGGAAATACTACAGGGTTCCAGGAGCAAGAAGAATTGTGGGAATGGATTCTGGGAGTCAGCAGCCATTTTACTGAGGCAAGCCGTCTTTTGGCAGAAGTGGCTGCCTGCCCAGGCCGTCCAGATGGTGCTTAGGAAAATGAGGAAGGTGCAAAGGATTGGGCAGTGGGTGTGAAGAGGACTGGGAGGCCACAAGGCAGATGTCAAGAGACAGGGAAGCAAGGAGACTGCAAAGTGGGTGAAAAGAAGAGATGTAGTTGGGATGAGAAAGAAAATGAAGCTACAAGGGGTATGAGTGAGTCAGGGAGACTGCAAGGGTGGGGACCAGAGAATAGTTTCACACCTGTCAATAAAAGAATATTCAGCTAATGGGGTGACAGGATAACCTTAAATCAGTGAGGTAATGAATTATTTGCAAATGAATGTGGTATCTAGAATAACACTGCACAATGTTCAGAAGCTGTTGTATGGGGAAACATGCAGAAGTTCTATGGTAAAGAACACTGCATGTTGATTGTTAAAATTAAATCTGAGATTGAGATCTGTGATGCATTAAAAAGTTAGTTAACATATGCCAGCCTTATGAACACATCAGCTGTGACCTCACCAATCTAAAAGCTGTGTTTAAGGTGAAGGTTTTTGTGTGTAGAAGTGCATGAGAGTTATTTTGGGAAAAAAAAAACTTTTGGTGCTAACTTATGCCTGCTGGTTGTGCCAAATTTAACACTGCAGTATCTATTAAATTTACATTTCCTGAGCATGCCTGTGGCTTTAATTTAATGTAGCATTGATAACTATTAATATTAACTAATTCTTCTAATTCTGCTTCTGTGTGAGTCTAATTACCTCATACATAAATGAATACACAGAAGGTAATGTTACTATGTGACTGGAAAGAAGGCTCAAAACTATGTTCAAGAGAGTTTACTTGAGCAGCAGATTTCCAGTCCAATTAGGACACATAGCTGAAACAAAAACTATTGCTAGAGAAACTCAATAGTTCTGGCAGCACCTGTGGAGAGAAAGCAGAGTTAGCCTTTTGGGTTCAGTGTCCCTTCATCAGAACTCCTGATGAAGATTCAGTGGACCAAAATGTTGACTCTGCTTTCTCCCCACAGATGGTAAGTTTCTCCAGCAATTTCTGTTTTTTTTTTCCAGATTATCAGCATCCGCAGTTCTTTGTTTTATTTTAGGCATAGCTGAATCTGGTTCTGGGGAATGAGGGGGATCAAGCAGATCAAGCGTCAATAGCAGAAGATTTAGGGCAGACTAATCATAGATTTGTATTATACAGTTTAGCAAAGCAAAGGAGAAGGAAAAAGGACAAGGAACAATCCACAAGAAAAAAACCTAATTAGAGGAGGGTCAATTTCAGTGTGGTGGGAATCAATTTATTCTTCATAAATTTGAGTAAAAGATTGGCTGACAGACAATTGTGGTGCAATGGACTGTTTTAAACAAGGAGATAAATTGGGTACAGTCAAGGTACATTCCCACTAGAGGGAAAGGCAGGGTAAGCAATGCCTAGAAAGAGAAAGAGAATAAGATAAAAGTCAAAAAGTTGCGTATGACGGATGTCAGGTTAAAAATACAAATAAGAATCAGATTGAAAATGGAAAATTCAGAACGAAGATTAGGAAGGAAATAAGAGAATTAGAGGAGCAAAGAGACAATATGAAAACAGGTTGTCAGCTAATACAAGAAGGAAATAGAAAAGACTTCTGTAGAAATATAAAATATAAAAGTGTGTGAAGGTAGGGAGCATAAGAATCCAAAAAATAGATGAAAAGGAGATATTGTAGAATTTAAAATTGTAAGTCAACAGAATCCAAGGATACTGAGAGAAGTAAAGGTGGAAATTGTGGAGGTATTGTCAATAATACTTCACTCCTCCTTAACTATGGTGATGATGTCGAAGAGCTGGAGAACTGCAAATGTTATACTCATATTTACAAAAAGCTTTATAGATAAATCCTGAAATTACAGGCTACACAATTTAACGTCAGAGCTAATCTGAGATGAAATTTATAGTCACTTGTAAAGTTTAGATAAAGTAAACAAAGCCAGGCTGGAAACAGTGTTTAACTAACTTGATAGAGTTGTTTGATGAAGTAATAGAATTGGTAAAGGTAATGTGGCTGTTGTCATCTAAATGGTTTTCCAAAAGACTTTTGATAAATCATAGAACCCCACAGCGTGGAAGCAGGCTATTTGGCCCAACAAGTCCACACTGGCCCTCTGAAGAGCATCCCACCCAGACACATCCCCCCCAAACCTGCATTTCCCATAACTAATACACCTAATTCACACATCCCCGAATACTACAGGCAATAAATTTAACATGGCCAATCTACCTAATTTACACATTTTTGGACTGTGGTGCACACAGTGGGAACCTGATGGAAATACATGCAAACTCCACACAGACATTTGACAGAAGCCAGAATCAAACCCAGGTCCCTAGCACTGTGAGGCAGCAATGCTAACTACTGAGCCACCATGCTGCCTGATTGAAGTGCCACACAAACTGGATTCCCAGTAAAAATGATGCCCATGCAATAAAAGATAGTGCCAATATCAAAATGAAGTAGGCTGTGATACAAAACAAAGTAATGATGTGGATGGCAGCAAGGTGAGTTTTTCCATGAGTTGTTATAGGTTCCACCGCTTTCCTTGATATATATTTGTGTCATAGACTACAGTGTCCAGGGTACAGTTTCATAATCTATAGCTAACTAACAGAATGTAAACTGTGAAGAAACATTCCAAAAAGATACAGCCAGGCTGGTGAAATGGGCAGACACATATCAGATGAAACTTAATGAACAGAAAAGTGAACTGATTATTTTCTCACAGCTAGAATGAGGAAAGGCAACAATATATTTCTAAAAGATTGCAGAAACAGAGAGACATGCAATTATGTGCCTAAATCATTGAAGGTTACAACGCAGGTTGGGAAAGTGATTAACAAAACATTCAGGAGACTAAGCTTTCGAATTGAGTCAGAAACTACAGAAGAAAGGAAGTTATAATGAATCTTTATAAAATACTGGTTCAGCTTTAACTGAAATAGTGCGTCCTACATTAGCCACTGTAATTATAGGAAGCTTGTGACGGCTCGAGAGAGGTTCAGCGAAAACTAATAAGGCTTGTCCCAGAGTTGAGGGACGTCAGTTAAGGTAGATTGGAGAATGGTGCTCATTTCCCTTTGGGAAAGTTGTGAGGAGGTTTGATGAAAGTACTAAAAATCATAAGCGAGCCAGACAAAGTAGCTGGAAAGAAACTGTTCCCATTTTAACGGCTGAGAGCCAGAAGATACTGATTTCAGATGACAGGCAACAGAACTAATATGACATGTAGTGAGTAATCATATTCTGTTAACGTACTGCCTGAAAAGAGGGTGAAGGCAGATTCCATCCTAGGTTTCAAAGAGAATTGGATAAGCACCTGAAAATTAAACTTTGCACAGCTGCACAGCATGGATGGGCAAGTGGAGCTAGCCAAACAGCTCTTGCAGAGAACTGCTCTTACACAGACTCAAAAAAATGCTTAATTGCTTATGACTGTTACTCAGCAGATCTCTTAGAATTCTTTTTATAAATTATTTTCAGAGAAAGTAATTTGTTCTTTACCCCTAAAATATAATGACTGTATTTCTGTAGGGAATTACCCGATTACATGCTGTAACATCAGTATTTATGTGGCTTCTCCAGATATTCCAGGGATCAAGTAACAGTGCTGGAATGTCTTGCGAACTCTGCGATCGAGATTTGGTTTTATAACTTCCTTTAGATGTTATAACTAATAATTATGTATATTTTTGGTCTTTTGGTATTTTGTGCAAACTTCCTTTCTTAGTTGTAACCTGTCCCCAGAATGATACATTTCTAAATGACCCATTGGGATTCAAAAAAAATTTGCATTCTCAAAAACATAACATCGATTAAAATTATTAACTAAAATGAAATTAAGTGTTGTGCATCTCTTCTTTAATTAATCTATGTATTATAATTAGAGTGTTGAGAGAATGGGGTTACAGAGAAGCACCCTTAGCAAAATACATCAAGAAAACTTTTGCTCATGGGCACAAGGAATTGTGTTCCTCTCATAAAAGGCAACTGAAGTTGTTTGCTTAAAATATAATTGGAATTATGTGTGACACAGGAAGCTGCTAGTTTGATAAACAGATTGACAGCACAATATTGAAAAATATTTTAAAGCAGAATAAGTATATTGTATTAATCAACTTCATAATAGAGTGTAGCCTTTGTATGTTAATACGTTCCAGATATGTTGACAGAAAGGACAATTCAATTACAGAAACTGGCCATTCAACTGAACTGATCAAGCACTGAAACTCCAAACCAACTGCCTCTACCTTTCAATCCAATCAGCATATCCTTCCAAAATTCAATAAAAAAGTCAAAATGTACTTATTACTAAGGGAAGGAAGTAGTAGATGAAACACCCGAAGTAACGAGGGAAAATTGGAAGGATATTGTTGAATCAGCTGAAACATGTGTCCATTGTTCTTAGGGTTACCTACTTATATACAGAAAACACACCCTGTTTATTCAGCCTTCTTCCTATTCATCTGTGCAGACTTGAAGCCAATAGTTAATCCCACTTATTCTGAAAGTAATAAATGAACAACTGCTTATTTTAAACAGGAAGATGTATAAGTCACATCTTCCATTAACTGATAATGTGAAAGGTCTACCTCAGAACTTTGTAAATTCATGTTAAGTGATTGCACAAGGAAACATTACCTCCTCCACAAGAAGCTGAGCATTCAGAGCGAACAATGGCCCAAGTGTAATTGTGTTTTGGAGCTGTTTTATTCTCAGTCGATGATTTTGGCAAGGAATATTCCCATCCAATCCCTGGATTTTTGCCCTGAAGTAGTATCTGGATAAATAAAATAAAGTTTGGAAACAACGTTTTCATCACTTCATCTTCTATCATGTTAAAAATGATCCCTGTAAAGTTTAATCAAACAAATGATCTTATTAAACAGTCGCCAAACTAACTTTTTCCATCTATCAATGTTTTGCAGTTTGTCTCAAAGCAGCAGTTCTTTATTACAATAAAGCATATCTGAAGGCAGCAAACTACAACAAAGCCTTTTCCAATACCAGTTAACACAGTGCTTTTATAACTCAGTAAAACAGTGTCTAATTTTTGTTTTCTAAAAAGTAGCAAGAAATTCTACACATTTTTCAGTTTGTGTTATAAAAGAAAGTTTCTTGTTATATTGACTAAAGATGATCGGATTCATGTGAACTTTCCCTGTACCCCTATTCAAGGCTGAAAGGAAACCTAAACTAAATTTTAAAGCAGTTCCATTCCTTTTATTCCATTCCACTAAGGAGTTCTTTTAATTAGAAGTGCGTCTGACCTCAATTGGTAAGGTGTTGGAAGGATAGCGCTTAGGGCATCATTCAAAGCAGCAGTGCACCTTTCAAGAGAACTGGAAATGTATTTGTTACTTTTATAATATAAATAATAACCATAAATAACCATAAATAATATGGTTTAACCTAAGACAGTTGCTACTCCGACCATCCCGTACACCATAAGGTCATGACTCAGCTGTGGAACCACAGGGAAGAAACAGGTCAAAACTTCTCTTGAAAACTAATCATATCATCTCAGTAGAGATTAAAACATACAACAGCAGGCATGTATTTATTATAATAGCTCTCTTACCTGATGTGAAGCTTCTCTCTGTTTCAGCAGCTCACAGAACTTGGATATTTTAAACAAATGTCCATTTTAGTATGAAGACAGTGATTTGTTTTTTTAAGGTTTTTTTGATAAATTTAGCTCATTTGTAACAGTAATCTTAGTGATGGGAGAGAGATGGTGGAATGGCTTCTCCCCTTTTCCTCACCTCTCGATTGCCCACAACAAAAGTGTTGAGAGGGAGTGTTTTAAAACTTTTGGTTGCTGTCATTTTTGGCAATGAACAGGAAGCAAACTTTCAGTTAAACTCATGAGGAAAAGTAACGTTTATTCACACAACACCGAATAATGTACATGCAATACACTCAATCACCTGTGCAGAGAGAGACACACAAACACACAGGCACACGATAAATTCCAGGGACAAAGCAAACATTAAGGCTACCAGCAGAAATGCAATAAGTAAATCATATGGTCAAGCTTCAAGTTAAGATGCATGTCTGGATGGGTTCTCTTTCCTGTCTTTTTGGATGAATGGATTCTGGAGAGCTGCTGGGTTTCTAAATGAAGTTATGGCCAATCTTCTGCAGAGACAAAGTTATTCCTTCTCTTGCACTATCTGGGTTTACTGGCTGCTCGTGCAGGGTTCCATTCGCCTTCCTGGAGCCATATCCCTCCTGTCCTGTTGGCTTCCGGACTGACTTGTTTCTGATTGATTTTTGGAAGAATAAAATTTGTTATCTGCAGTTAGTCTCAAACATGTGACCACATGTTCAATACTTCTATTGTCCACACTAATGATTCAAAGTTAGAAGACGAATGGTGACTGTGCAACTCTGCTTGTGGTAAACTTGTTTCTCTTCAGCTTTCTTTGTAGACTATCAAATAAATCCAAGACACAGAGTCTGGAGGTGGGGACTACACTCATTATTTTGACTCATACTCAGACAATGGGGTTGTAAATTCCATTTACCAGTGGGTTTCATTTTTTGAATGTTTTTTCAAGGGTTGACTTCCACCCAGAACATTTACATTTAAGTGACTTTCCAGAAGAGTGTTCAGACATGAGTTAATTCCATCGCTGTGTAGGAATCACAGAAGGTCACCTGGCCTTTGGCAGCCACCTTCAGTATGTATAGTCTGCTTTTCAAACCAATTTTTGAAGAATCCAGATTGAATTGACTCTACATCTTGAAAGTAAAGAGTATGATATCCTTATTAGACATGACAGAAAACATTCGAGTTCCCTGTTGATGCGCCATTGCCTTGTATTTCTTATTGTATGAGACACCAACTATTTAACATAGGGTCTCCAGACTAAGGTCTGTGAATTTTCTCAAGTTTGGAAGTTTCATATTTTTTTGAAAAGCAGTGATAGAGGCACAACTCACATGATGTATAATAAATAAAAGAAATTCAGGAAATACTTAAAATCTGACAATATCTACAGAGTAAAAAAGACAAAATACTTCATTCACATAGTCTCTTTCACAACTGCTAGACATTCACTTGTAGTTTGCATTCCATTAAACAACACCAAAATAATGTCACTGTTTGAATGTAGAAAATACCACAGCAATATTCACTATCCATCAAATGAGGCAGTCCATAGACAGCAAAATCTGGATGACATCTAGGCTGGGGTTGGTAGGTGCCATGAAAATTTGCAACATACAATTGCCAGGCAATAACCACCTCCAACAAGAGAATATAGTCTTCCCCCTTGACAGTCAATGACATTATCATTGCTGATTCTCCCTCTATCAACATCTTAGATGCTACTACTGACCAGAAGTTCTATTGGATCAGCAACATAAATACTTTGACTATAACTACAGGTCAGAGGCTGGGATTACCTCCTGACTGGCCAAAGCTTGCCCGCCATTTACAAGGCACAAATGAGGAGTATGATAAAGTATTTTCCACTTGCTTTGTATTAGTACAGGTTCAACAACACTGAGGAAACTTGACATCATTCACAACAAACAAAAAGCCAAGTTGATCACTGATCACCTTCAACACCCATTCTCTCTACCATTGAAACACAGTGGCAGCAATGTGTACCATTTACAAGATGTACTGCAGCAACACCAAGGCTCCCTCAACAGCAGCTACCAAATCTGCAATCTCTGTCACTAAAAAGGACAAGGATAGAAGACACATATGAACACTACCAATTGCAAGTCCCCCTTCCAAGGCGTACACTATCCTGGCTTGAAACTGTATCACTGTTGCTTCATTGTCGCTGATCACTACCTTTTCAAGGGTAATTAGGCATGTGGCTGGCATGGCCAGTGGCATTCACATCCATATCGCCCACAGAATAAAGAAATACCAAGCTGCCACTTTAAGTTCCCACAATGACTCTGATTGTGACTAGATAATCCGTTTTTGTGATAGTAATTGAGGGATAAATATTGGCTCAGATACTGAGGATGAGTCCCTGTACTTCTTTAGAATAGTACCAGGGGATCTTTATCTCCACCCAAAAGGAGAGACTGAACATTGGTTTAAGGTGTTGTCCAATGACTCCATCTCTGATAGTACAGCACTTTCTCTGTACTGCGCTGGAGTGTCAGACTTGATTTTTATGTCCAAAACCAAGAGAGAAGTTTGAACCCACAATCTTCTCACTCCGAGCCTACAGTATTACTCATTGAGTCACTTGTTGACATTAGGTCAATTACCTCTTGTCACAATGGTAACTGTTTCCCTCTTCACAGATGTTGTCTCATCTACTACTAATATTTCAAACACTGTCTTGTTTTATTTTGCGTGCCCAACACCTGTCATGGTTTACTTTTGTTGCAAAATGATAATCTTCCCCTTGATTAAAATTGATGTGAATCTACACACACATTTCACTAACCTCATTTTCTCAGAGTGCACATGATTATAAAAACATTCAATTAGTTTTACACCTCACAGAAACAGCTGTTGTTTTGGTAGATGAATGACGAACAACAATGATTTAATATGACAAGGTGTCTATGGTTTACAGTTTCTTTTCTTTGACTCACAATTTAAACCTGTATGCATTTCTACTAGCATAGTTTGATGCATCTTCAACTCTAGGTCTGAAAGTCTTTGGCTCAGGCATTTGCAACAGCAGGCTCTTTAATGGATTAGCTTTGCAATACAAAAGAATGATGTTCTCTGTTCATAATTCTAGGGAACTGTACACAATGTGAAGGAGTTAGTACATCGGAACACATGTAAAGTGCCACGATGACAGCTGAATTAATCCATATTCTGTTGGCTAATTGCCAGCTACTCAATTACTTTTTTGTATGTCAACAATTGAATAAACTATGGTAAAGGACAGGGATAATGGCACTATCAAACAAGTTATCTCCGCCATGCAGCACATCTTGAAATGCTAGGGAACTTGGGGAAATAAAATATAATGTCTTGAGAAGCGTCCATATTTCTGAAGAGGGAATGCTGGAGGTCTTAAAACACATAAAGGTAGATAAATCCCTGGGACTTGGTCAGGTATTTCCCAGAACTTTGTGGGAAGCTAGGGAAGTGATTGCTGGGTGCCTTGCTGAGATATTTGTATCATTGACAGCCACAGGTGAGGTGCCAGAAGACTGGAGGTTGGCTAATGTGGTCCAATTATTTAAGAAAGGCTGTAAGGAAAAGTCAGGGAACTAGAGACTGGTGAGCCTTACATCAGCGGTGGTTAAGTTGTTGGAAGGGATTCTGAGGGACAGGATTTAAATGCATTTGGAAAGGCATGAGCTGACTAGGGATTGTCGACATGGCTTTGTGCATGGGAAATTGTGTCTCATTAACTTGATTGAGTTTTTTGAAGAAGTAACGAAAAAGTTTGATGAAGGCAGAGTGATGGATGTGATCTATATGGACTTCACTAAGGCATTCAACAAGGTTCCGCATGGTTAGCAAGGTTAGATCACATGGAATACAGGGAGAACTAGCCAACTGGATACAGAACTGGCTCAAAGGTAGGAGACAGAGGATGCTAGTGGTGGTTTGCTTTTCAGACTGGAGGCCTGTGACCAGTGGTGTACCACAAGGATCAGTGCTGGGTCCACTGCTTTTTGTCATTTATGTAAATGATTTGGATGTGAACTCAGGAGGTATGATTACTAAGTTTGCAGGTGACACCAAAATTGGTGGTGTAGTGGACAGTGAAGAAGGTTACCTCAGAGTACAACGGGACCTTGATCAAATGGGTGAATGGGGGCGAAAGATGGAGT